AAACTTTGAATGCATTGAAAACCAGAAATTCTGGCTCAAAGTCGGTGATTTATCAGGAGGCCACTAAGCCACAGCGACTTAGCCGAACTGAGCTGGGTTCAATGCTGCCTGCACAGATCCAGGTTACCCCTGCAGAGGTGGAGAATTGATGGCACCATCCGTGAACTTCTAACTGTAGAGGGCCTCTCCATTTATGAGTAAATCTTCAGTAAGCCTTCCAGTAAAGTTTGAGAATCACCGGTGCAAGCATTGAGTTTTGACCTTTTTCAACTCAAAAGAAGGGACAGTTGAGAAATTGAACAAGGCCGTCTATAGAGGATTGCGCCCAATTCATGCAATCGCGTTGAGCACAAGAATCGCTTTGGACAATGCTTCGGTTTGGCTTAAGCGGCCAACTTGCACGTATGCTACTCATATGGCTGCTTCTGAGCACTTCCACTTCAAGCAGGGGTGGGGAACCGTGGCCCTTTTACGACTTGTGGGCTTCAACTCCCAGAATTCCTGAGCCAGCTCAGGAATTCTGAGAGTTGAAGTCCACAAGTCGTAAAAGAATCAGGATGTCTCTGATTCTTAGGTGTCTGGCCAAAGGCATCTTAAGCTAAGGAACCTCACAGCTTTCCATGGAAGCAGATCCATTATACTTCCTTGCAGCCCCCTCCTGTGGCTAAAATCTTCAAAGTCCGCTGTTGACAAGCTAATTCTTTCCTTCCAGGAGCGTGAGCATGTTCGACATGAGATGTCCAGACGAGGGTGCTGTGAATCAACCTCACAGTAAAGCTCGCCATGAAAAGCTTCAGATCGTTCATCACCAGCTGAAGGAAGACGAGGACCAGTGGCAAGATGTGAGTAGGGGGTCTGTAGAGGCGTGGTAGTCCGATCTAGTTGCTATCATAGAGCTTTTGAAGACCACGTTTAAATTACAGGCACAATAAATCAATAGAATCAAGATCACGTAAAGTCTTAATGCCACTCTATAATGCTTTGGTGAGGCGACACTTGGAATATTGCGTCCAGTTTTGGTCGCCACCATCAAAAAAAGATGTTGAGACTCTAGAAAGAGTGCAGAGAAGAGCAACAAAGAGGATTAGGGGACTGCCGGATAAAATGTACGAAGAACGGTTGCTGGATTTGGGTATGTCTCTAGTCTAATGAAAAGAAGGACCAGGGGTGACGTGATGGCAGTCTTCCAATATTTGAAGGGCTACCACAAAGAGGAGATGATCAAGCTGTTCTCCAAAGCACCAGAAGGCAGGATAAGTAGCAATGGATGGAAACTAATCAAGGAGAGAAGCAACCTAGAACTAAGGAGAAACTTCCTGGCAGTGAGACCAATTAATTAGTGGAACAGCTTGCCTTCAGAAGTTGTGGATGCTCCATCACTGGAGGTCTTTAAGAAGGGATTGGACAACCTGTTGTCTGAAATGCTATAGGGTTTCCTGCTTGGGCAGGCGATTGGACTAGAAGATCTCCAAGGTCCCTTCCAATTCTGTTGTTGTTGTTGTTATATTACATTATATAATTAAACTGAGACCCTGGAAAGTGTGCAGAGAAGAGCAGCAAAGGTCTGGAGACTAAATCGTACAATGAACCATTGAGACAGCTAGACGTATGTCTAGTGTATGGAAGAGATGGATCCGAGAGACACGATAACCGTCTTCCAATACTTGAGGGGCTGTCACAGAGAAAGGGGGGTTCACTTATTCTCCAAAGCGCCTGAAGGCAGGACAAGAAGCAACAGATGGAAACTAATCAAGGAGAGAAGCAACCTGGAACTAAGGAGGAATTTCCCGATGGTTAGAACAATTAATCAGAGGAACAACCTGCCTCCCGACGTTACATGTGCTCCATCACTGGAGGTGTTCAGAAATAGACTGGGCAACCATTTGACTGGGATGGGATGGTATCTCCTGCTCTTTTTTTTTAATTTGACAGTTTGGCCCGAAGGCCTGGAACTTTGGCAGTCTCCCACTGAAATATAGGTAGGCCTTGACTTACCACCACAACTGAGCTCAAAATTTATGTTTATGTTGTTGGGTATTTAATAATAATAATAATAATGATAAAGTTGGAAGGGACCTTGGAGGTCATCTAGTCCAACCCCCTGCTCAGGCAGGAAACCCTATACCATTTCGGACAAATGGCTGTCCAGTTTCTTCTTAAAACTTCCAGTGTTGGCGCATTCACCGCTTCTGGAGGCAGGTTGTTCCACTGGTTAATTGTTCTAACCGTCAGGAAGTTTCTCCTTAGTTCCAGGTTGCTTCTCTCTTTGGTTAGCTTCCACCCATTGCTCCTTGTCCTGCCTTCAGGGGCTTTGGAGAATAGCTTGACTCCCTCTTCTTTGGGGCAGCCCCTGAGAGATTAGAAGGCTGCTATCATGTCCCCCCTCGTCCTTCTCTTCGTTATACTAGACATACCCAATTCCAGCAACCGTTCCTTATATGTTTTAGCCTCCAGTCCCCTAATCATCTTTGTTGCTCTTCTCTGTACTCTTTCTAGAGTCTCAACATCTTTTTTTACATCGTGGTGACCAAAACTGGATGCAGTATTCCAAGTGTGGCCTTCCCAAGGCCTTGTAAAGTGGTATTAACACTTCATGTGATCTTGATTCTATCTCTCTGTTAATGCAGCCTAGCACTGTGTTGGCCTTTTTGGCAGCTGCAGCACACAGCTGGCTCATATTTAAGTGATTGTCCACTAGGACTCCGAGGTCCCTCTCACAGTTACTACTATTGAGCAAGGTACCCCCTATACTATACCTGTGCATTTGGTTTTTCTTGCCTAAATGGAAACCTTACTTTTTTCACCGTTGAATTTCATTTTGTTAGATAGTGCCCAGTGTTCAAGTCTGTCCAGGTCCTCCTGTATCCTAAACCTGTCTTTCTTTTTCTCTGCCTCCACTCCGTGATTTAGGATTTAGCCCGGTGGAAAACCCGTCGTAGGAGTGCTTCCCAGGACTTGCTGAAAAAAGAAGCCGAGAGGAAGAAGATGGAGCAGCTACTCATTGGAGGAGAGGGAAACAGTGAGAGAAGGAAGAGCGTCAAGACGTATCGAGAGATTGTGGAGGAGAAGTACGTTAGCCTTAAGACTGGTTGCAGAAGGCACGCCAGATCATAATACGGGTTGTGTTGAGTGCGTGAATGAGCCCAGGCAATTGTGGCATATTCAGAAAACATGGCTAAAGAAATGATGGTCCAGATATTGATCGGAAAGAGTATTTGTAACTCAGAGTTGAACGGTGAGCTCCTTGGTGCTCTCTGAGCTTGGTGGTTTTCTTGCCGACGTTTCATGACCCAAACTAGGTAACACCCTCAGAGCAATCCCTACTCCGCTGTAGCACAGATGTGGTTACCTAGTTGGGTAAACACAACATCTGCAAGAAAACAACCAAGTTCAGACAGCCCCAAGGATCCCACAGTCTGGACATATTTGCCTTGTGGCCCAAACATGCGACAATTCTGTGTTTGTAAAATGTGTTATTACATCATGCTTCTTGGAATCTAAAGCATAGGCTGGCTGCAGCTCTGTGTGTGTGTGTGTGTGTGTGTGTGTGTATTTGTAGAACATCAGGGCTTGAGTTGTCCATCAAAGAAGAAATAGTAAAAATCTCAAAGGTGGTTTTTTTCAGGAGGCAACTGGACTTTCTTGTTTTTCCTTTGAAGACGTTTCGCTTCTCATCCCAGAAGCTTCTTCAGCTCTTACTGGATGGTGGGGAACGGGAGGATTTATACTCCTTGCAGACAGCTGGTCATTTGCCTCCTTTTAGAGAGTCATTTAGGCCATTTGAAAAGGCCTCTTCCTCCTCCTCCTCCTCCTCCTCCTCCTCCTCCTCCTCCTCCTCCTTCTTCTTCTTCTTCTTCTTCTCCTTCTCCTTCTCCTTCTCCTTCCTCTTCCTCTCCCTTTCCCTTATCCTTCACCTCCTCCTCCTTTTTTTCTTTTTCTTTCTTTCTCTGTCTCTCTCTTTCTCTCTGTCTCTTTTTCTTCTATCCTTCTCCTTCTTTCCCTCCCATCTTCCTCCTCCTCTTCCTCTTTCATCCTTCTCCCAAAAATACTTTTTCAGGAGGCAACTGGACTTTCTTGTTTTTCTCTGAAGACGTTTCGCTTCTCATCCCAGAAGCTTCTTCAGCTCTGACTGGATGGTGGAGGAATGGAAGGATTTATACTCCTTGCAGACAGCTGGTCATTTGCCTCCTTTTAGAGAGTCATTGAGGCCACTTGGAGGTTTATCTGTGACCTCAAGGTCACCTGAGTGGTGCCAATGGGTGTGGAGCCTTCTTGGCTGCCGAGTGAAGGGACACAGGGCAGAAAACACCCTGACAAACCTCCAGGTGGCCTCAACGACTCGGCAAATGACCAGTTGTCTGCAAGGAGTATCAATCCTTCCCTTCCCCACCATCCAGTCAGAGCCGAAGAAGCTTCTGGGATGAGAAGCGAAACGTCTTCAAAGAAAAACAAGAAAGTCCAGTTGCCTCGTGAAAAAGCACCTGGATGACTGAACATCTCCATAGACAGATCAGGAAAAAGCATTCGTCCTGATCTTCTGCGCCACATGGTAGTTTTCCAATATGCTCAGTATGTCAAATGTCTGATTAACGAAACACTAAAAAGGACTTTCAGGCATATTTTCTCCTAAAAGCATTTATTAATGTTACAGATACGTCAGCACAAAATGGATGAATGCTTAGATCTGCTTCTCTTCCGTACGCATAACATTCTAAACATTTCCACTCCCTTATTGTAGGATCATGGTTCACATCTTCCAATCAACTTGGAAGATGTGATTTACTTCCCGTTTCTTTCTCCCGGGCTATCCTTATGCTCCTCCCTCTTTCTTGGTTGCTGGTTTAACTATATAAATACCAGACAGTTCTGCACATTGTCAAAGCAAGAATATACAGTATTTGCAGCGTTGACACAGTACTTGCTATGACTCTAAATATAAGGTTCTGTCGAGTAGCATCGTTACTTTGCAACTGCTCATGAGACAAAAGTCGGGCTTTCTCCTACACGGTTGCCCACTTGGGGTCCAGATGTTTCATTCTGCAATCTTCTCCCCAAGATTTCTTTTTCAAAAGCAACTGGACTTTTCTTTTTTCTTTAAAACAAAGATTTTTATTCACTTATAAAATACCAAAATACAAAAGCAAATAGTAAGGAACAACGGTAGGGGAAGGGGAAAAAGGGAAGTGTGGAAAAGGGGGTGAGGGACACTTCCTCTGTTGCAGTAAAATAAGACATTGAGGTCGAACCTCACCTTTTTACATGTCTATCGAAGTGTGAACTAGCCATTTCTAGATCAGCAAATCCATCTAATCAGTAAAACCCCAAATCATAGTATCGTTTTTTTCCCCAGCTCAAGCACAAAGCCCAGAAGCGGTTTCCAAATAGAAACAAAAGTACTTATATTTTTTTCTTTTTATTGAAACGGTCCGTTTAGCTAATTCTATGCTAATTCCACCAGCTTTTGTAGCCCTTCGTCCATGGTGGGAATCGAAACATCCTTCCATATTTTTTTTTTTGTGCATGGAGCAGTCTTGCTGCCATCGCAACTGGACTTTTCTTGTTGTTGTTGTTGTTGTTTTTTCCTTTGAAAATATTTCGCTTCTCATCCGAGGAGCTTCTTCAGTCCTCGGAATGTTTTCAAAGAAAAAAAAACAAAAACAACCCAAGGAACTCCAGTTGCCTTTTGAAGCGAAGACGCCTTTTTTGGAACACTGTGAGGAACTTCGGTAAACCTTCCGCCATCTTGTTTCTGCTCCCCTCGAAACAGGGAGAAGCGTGAAAGGGAACTTCACGAAGCCTACAAGAACGCCAGCTCTCAGGAAGAGGCGTACAATATACTCCAACATTACATCGAGAGGTTTGCCATTAGCGAAGCNGAAAGGAACAGCTTTGATAGTTACAACTAATTGATTAAGTCTTCTAGAGAGAGAGTTAGATAATAGCTTGATATAGAGAGAGCAATTTTGTAGTCTTAACCACGTTCCGTTTTCCTTCTCATTAGAACTAATCAAAGATGGTTTCAGATGGTTTCAATCTGCTTTTGCGTTTTGAAATGCAGGTCGAGGGAAAGATCACGGTGAACGGAGAAGCGAGCAATGGAGTGGACGGAGAGCCAGACAAGGAATGCTCAGCCCTTCTGTTTGAACCTTCCCCTAGCCTTTCAGCCAAGTCTGATCATGTGGTCGAACTGCCTGGTGGATCCATGGAGAGAAGCGCAGATCCCTCCATTCCTGAACTCATTCAGAAGAGCTTAATCGAACACGGTGTACACAGAGAGCAAGTTGTAAGGGCCAAATACTTGGGTTAGCAGGAGCCTGGACTGCCATCTGTCAGAAATGGTGTAGGGTCTCCTGCTTGGGCGTGGTGGTGGTGGTGGACTAGAAGACCTACAAAGTCCCTTCCAACTCTGTTTACCCTACCCTACCCTACCCTACCCTACCCTACCCTACCCTACCCTACCCTACCCTACTCTACTCTACTCTACTCTACTCCACTCCACTCCACTCCACTCCACTCCATATTCTATTCTATTCTATTCTATTCTATTCTATTCTATTCTATTCTATTCTATTCTATTCTATTCTATTCTATTATTCTATTCTATTCTATTCTATTCTATTCTATTCTATTCTATTCTATTCTATTCTATTCTATTATATTATATTATATTATATTATATTATATTATTATTATATTATTATTATATTATTATATTCTAAACAGAGTTCCCTAAACAGAAGTGCCAAGTTATTGAATCCTAAAAGCTTATTCAAACTATAGAGAGTCATTTGATTTAGGCAGGATATAAATATAATAAATAAGCCGCCTTTTCTTTGGCTTCTGCTTTAACCATGAATTCCATGTTTTCTGCAGGACTCTTTCACGGAAGAAGCTGAACCAGCCAGCCAAAAAGAGAGAACTGATTCGGAAGAAATGTTTCTGGGTAGGTTTTTCCATTTTTAAAGAACAGTAAACAGCCCTTAACATAGCAATAGGAGGGAATATTTGTAGCTCAGAGTTGTCCTGTGGGATCCTTGGTGCTTTCTGAGCCTGGTGGTTTTCTTGTAGATGTTTATTACTCAACTTGGTCACATCATCAGTGCCAGAAGGGAGTGGGGTTTGTTGAAAGGAGGAGGGGGAAGGGGAGGAGGAGGAGGAGGAGGAGGAAGAGAACAAGAAGAACAAGAAGAACAAGAACAAGAAGAGGGGAGGAGGTGGAGAAGAAGAGGAGGAGAAAGGAGGAGATGGAGAAGGAGAAGGAGAAGAAGAAGGAGAAGGAGAAGGAGAAGGAGAAGGAGAAGGAGAAGAAGAAGAAGAAGAAGAAGAAGAAGAAGAAGAAGAAGAAGAAGAAGAAGAAGAAGAAGAAGAAGAAGAAGAAGAAGAAGAAGAAGAAGAAGAAGAAGAAGAAGAAGAAGAAGAAGTCCTTTGTGCTCTCTGATCTTAATTATTTTCTCACAATTTTGAAAAGTCACTAAATGAACTTGGTAAATTGAGGATTACCTGTAGTAGTACAAGTAGTCCTCGACTTACAACCACAGTTAGGACTAGAATTTCCGTTGCTAAGCGAGCTGCATCCGATTTTTTCCCTCCCGTCAGACCAGCCGAGAAATATTCAGAAACAACAGAAAAGAAATGCCAATGAATTATATTAGCAGCTTTGGATATAAATTGTGGGTATCGCTAGAAAGTAATTAACTAACTACAGGATTCAATATGTAATTATTTTCTTATAAATTAATAATAACGTGGAAGGGGGAAAAAAAACATGCCCTCCCTCTTAGTTTTATAGTTTGCAATTATTACCGCAGCGGTTAACTCAGCTTGATGCAGGAAAGCATTCAGAAGAATTATTTTAAAGAATATTTTAAGAAAGCAGCGGGGCTGCCTTTTCGTAGCTGTGCCCGATGATGCACGTTTTTGTTTTTGCTTAAAATTAATTCCCCAAAGCGGAAGGTTGAAGAAAGCAGCTGCAAATCACTTCTGTACTGATGCCATGAAAACGTACAAATACCGTGTTTCCCCGAAAATAAGACCGGGTCTTTTTTTTTTGTTTTTGCCTCCAAAAGAGGCACCATGTCTTATTTTCGGGGTAGGCCTTACCTCACCTCTGTCACCGACAGCCCCACCCAGCCGGTCCGCTTCTTCTGGGGCCGAAGTTCTGCAGCTGCATTCGGGCCTGCATTTTACAGTCAGGCCTTTCCAGAAGGCCTAAGCAGCCGAGTACCGAGCTATGGATTCAGTCCATAGCTTGGTGCTCGGCTACTGAGATCTTGCAGAACTGAGCTGCGGATTGAATCCATAGCTCGGTTCTTAGCTGCAGAGGCCTTCCGGAAACCTCCGTGACTGAGAAATGCAGGCCTGGCTGCAGAAGAGGCCTCAGAAGAAGAAGTGGGCCGGCGAGGAGAGGCCTGGCTGCAAAGGAAGCGGGTGCAGGCAGCTCCCCACCTCCGCTTGATTTTTAGGTGTGTACCTCGCCCCCAAACTAGGGCTTATTTTTGGGGTAGGGCTTATATTAGGCCCACCCCCAAAAATCAAGCTAGGGCTTCTTGTTGGTGTAGGCCTTGCTTTCGGGAAAACACGGTATGTACCTGGAGTCACCCACAAGGTTGAGAGTGATTTTCATCTCTGTGAAAACACATCTAGTCCTTGACTTAACGACCAAAACTGAGCCCAAAATTTCTGTTGTTAAGCGAGTGTTGTTAAGTGAGTATTGCTCCCTTTTACGACCTTCCTTGTCGTGGTTGTTAAGTGAATCACTGCAGTTGTTCAGCTAGTAACCCGGTTGTTAAGAGAATCTGGCTTCCCCCTGGATTTTTGCTCGTCGAAAAAGGGGATCACGTGATAATTGGTTCTGACTTGTTTATTTTCTTGAGATCAAACTATGATTCAAAATCTGTCTGTCTATCTCTCTGTATCTCTGTATCTCTATATCTATCTATCTGTCTGTCTGTGTTTGTGTGTGTGTGTGTGTGTGTGTTAGGCAGCTGTATTAACCTCTAGGCCCAGGTTCGAATCTCAGAAGAGTATGTCTAGCTGATGAGAGCTAAATAGCTCGAAATAGCTATACTAGTCTCCCTTTAACTCTTTGTCAGTTTATCTTTTTTATTTCTTTCTTGTCTTTTTAATGGATTAGCTCCAGATCTCACCGAATCCAGCACGAAGTTTTCCTGTGCCAACCTCATGGTGGCCCACATGGAACTATCTTCCGTCCACAACCATCCCAACGAAATAGAGTCAAACCGTGGCCTGAATTCGACTCGGGAGCCCAAAATTCCTGAAAGAGGAGAACAGAACGGTACAGAACCTGTGGCTAGCCAGAAGGTAACTTTAAGATGCGTGTCTGAGAAGCGAGTGAAATGTTAACGCTATCCTTCTCGAAGGGAGGTGTGCATTTTTTTCACCGACGCGCGCACGGGTGCGCGCACACACAGAAACACACACGCAAAGGCCTCTTCGCACCAAAAAAGTTCAAAAATTCCCCGTTCTCAGTTGTAACTTGCATGGAGCCCTAGCATATAGATCAATAGAATTAGTACAGCCAGTCCTCGGCTTTCCACAGTTCGTTTAGTGACTGCTCAAAGTTACAATGGCACTGACAAAAGTGGCTTACGACTGTTTTTTCACACTTAAGGACCATTGCAGCCTATCTCAATGAAACATAGTTCTGCTTTACAGTTTCCTGGTCTGAACAATCTCAAAAGGGCTGATAGTTGTACTACTTTGATGATGTGCTGATGATGTTCTTTACAAATCGTTCCAGGTCCAGACAGAAACTTTGGAGGTTCCGAAACAAGGTGAACACCTACTTTTGTCTCTTCTGAAGAAACTCCCT